ATCGAACTCAGGACCTTGTGCTTGCCGGGCAATTTTCTGGCTTTTTTTTAGAGACAGGGTCTTATTAATGTGGTTCAGGCTGGCTTTAAACTCACTATGTAGTGCAGACTGGCCTTGAACTCACAACCATCCTCCTGCCTCAGCCTCCCAAATGCTGGGATTACAGGTGTGTGCCACCATGCCTGGCACCAGCCCATTTTTTATTTTGAGATAGGATCTGGCTGAGTTGCCCAAATTAAGTTTGAATGCTTGACCCTCCTGCCTCACCCTCTGAGAGTGATGGGATTACAGGCATGCACCGTTATGCCCAGCTCTAATACTGGGTGGCGTAGCCACAGGGAACAGCTAATGTTCTCAAATAAGATCACTAAGCACCTAATACACTGTTAGACTTAGTGATCTTTTGATATGTTTGCAGTGTGATTTTTTTCCTTTCTAGTAATTCAGTCATCTTTGTAATGCAGGCTACGTTGCTGGGTTTGTAGACCTGGAGGTGAGCAATAGACCGGATCTGTATGATGTGTTTGTGAATTTGGCAGAGAGCGAGATCACCATTGCTCCGCTCGCAAAAGGTCAGTTCTCTGTTCTGTTCTCTGTTCCATTGTTGACAAGAGAGGTAAGCCAAGCAGCTGTGCTTTTTTAGGCTGACTGTAAAACCCATAGTTGAAACCTGTCTACCCTGCTGTGGGAAGCCAGAGGGATTTTTGGTGTCTAGATTCTGAATGCATTTATCTTCACAGATCTAGACATGTTAGTAGTATATGTGGGACTACTGATAATAGCTTTTGTGTGGTTGCTTACCTTTTTCCTACAAGTGAGGGCAGCTGAGTGCTGGTTCATTAGGGACCTCTCTTAGATAGACTCTGAACATGCGGTTTCGTTGTTTTATTTTTTGTTTTCTTTCTTTTTTTTTTTTTGTACCAAGAATCAAACTCAGGACCTTGCACTTGCCAGGCAGGTGCTTGTGCCACTGAGCTATATCCCCAGCCCCTTGTTTATCTTTTTGAGACAGGGTCTCACTTCGCAGTTCAGTCTGACCTTGAGCTCACTTTGTAGCCCAGGCTGGTCTCGAACTTGAAACGATCCTCCTGCCTCAGCTTCCCAAGTGCTGGGATTACAGGTGTGCACCACCAGGCCCGGTTGTTTTATTTTTTGTATCTTAAGACAGGGACTCCTATAGTTGAGGCTGGCTTTGCACTCGCTGTGTAGCCCAGGCTGACCTCAAACTTGAGGCGATCTTCCTGCCTCGGGCCCCTCAGCCTCAGGTGTGCACCACCACGTGCGGCTCGTGTGAAGTTTTATCTCGTGACTTCACATTAATAAAACCAGAAATTTTTTTCATTATTTTAAAAGTTCAAACATGATGCCAGTTCATGTGGAAGATTGAAACCGTAGAGTCAGGTCCACAGGAGGACCTCACAGGAGGTACTTCCTCCTATGAAGCCAAAGGCAGAGATGTGGTGAGAGCCTTAAACTGCCAACAGCACCTCTAGTGAAGACCAGAGAGCAGAACCATCTTCCTATTGCCAGTGTTGCTCTGAGTCCATACAATGGGTTCATCCAGTCCCTACCATTCAAACAGAGTTCATCCCCTGTGGTGACAGACACACTGTGAATCTTGCTGCAGAAGCAGCACCTGCTGCGGTTCCTGTAACTTCTGTTGCTTCCTTTGCCCGTTCTCAGGGCCTAAACACACTGAATGCTCCGCTGGCTTCTGTAGAACTGACAGGGAGCCCTTCTCTCACCACATTCCCAGCTGAAAGATACATTTCAATATTTTTTTTTGGTGGTAAGGACTGGGGTTTGAACCCAGGACCTTTTTGCACTGAGTATTTAGCCCTTATTATTTTTTTATTTTTTGGTACTGGGAATCAAACTCACGACCTTGTGCTTGCCGGGCAGGCACTGTGCCACTGAGCTATATCCCTGACTCTCCTTTTTAATTTTTGGAACAAGGACTTGCAAAGATGCTAAATTGCCTAGGTTGAGTTTGAACTTTCAGTCTTCCTGCCTTAGCCTCTCTAGGGTGCTGGGATTATAGATGTTTAACACCATGCCAGGCTCATTTAAATTCTTTTTTTTTTTTTTTGGTGACAGGATCTCACTATGTAGTTCATATTGGCCTTGAATGCAGTATGTAGCCCAGACTGGCCTTGAATTTATGGTGGTTCTCCTGCCTCAGCCTCCCAAGTGCTGGGACTACAGGCATATACCATGATGCTGGGCTTAAAATGTTTTTCTTTTTTGTCTTTTTGAGATATTTTGCTGTGGAGTTAAGGCTGATTTGGAACTCATTTTGTAGCCCAGGCTGGCCCTGAACTTGCAGCAATCCTCCTCTCAGCCTCCTGAGTGCTGGGATTACCGGCCTGTGCCATCCTGCCCAGCTGGGCTGAAATTCTTTTCTCTCTCTTTTTTTTTTTTTGATACCAGGAATTGAACTCAGGACCTTGTTTGCCAGGCAGGCACTTATGCCACTGAGCTACATCTCCAGCCCCGGAAATTCTTTTTTTTGTGTGTGTATGTGTGTCTTTTTTTTGAGACAGGGTCTCATTATGCAGTTTGGGCTGGCCTCAAGCTCACTTTGTAGCCCAGGCTATTCTCGAACTCACAACGATCCTCCTGCCGAGTGCTGGGATTACAGGCATGCGCCACCACGCCTGCCTTGAAATTCTTAACTGTAAAGACTTGAACAAAAAGTCACGCTCTTGCCTTAAAACCATAGCTTATTTGTAGTCAGAATTTTCATGAGATTTTGTCTGGAATGAAAAATAATGCTTAACTGGGTCTGGTGGGAAATGCCTTTAATGCTAGCACTTTGGAGGCTGAGGCAAGAGAGTTGCCTTGAGTTCTAGGCCAGCCTGGACTACAGAGTGGACCTTATCTCAAACCACTTCCCAAAAAAAAGAAAAAAGAAAAATAATTTTTACTAACTGGGTGGGGTAGGCAGATTTGGTTTGGTGTTGATGTGTTTTCTTTGGGCCATGAAGCGTATAAATTGTAAGTATGCCTTACCTCTTAGCATGTTACCACATGTGTTTAATGGAAAAATGGAAATGTGAAAGGTTATCCATTGTTTCGTTTTTGTTTTTTGGAGACAGGGTTTCGCTATGTAGTTCAGGCTGGCCTTGAACTCTATAGCCCAGGCTGACCTCAAACTCATGGCAGCCCTGAGGGCTGGGATTACAGGTGTGTGCCAGTGTGCCTGGCCTCTTTGCTTTTTTTTTTTGATACCAGGAACCGAACTCAGGACCTTGCCATTGCCAGGCAGGTGCCATGCCACTGAGCTATCTCCTTGGCCCTCTGTTGCTTTTTGAAAATTCTCTCAATGTAGTTAGTCTTTCCAGTGTTCAGTGAGATGCCTGATCATTTTTTATTGTGTAAACTTCTAAATATTCACACAAAATACTCTTCTTTCTCTCACCAGAGTCCATGACAATGGGCAAACTGCACAAAGAAATTGGTCAGCTAATTGTCCAGTCAGCAGAAGACCCCGATAAGTCGGACAGCCAGGTTATACAGGTAACCCCTTGATCTGCCATCTTCCTGGGGTCCTGCGGCAGGCTTGCTGGGCAGCGTGTGGTGGAGCAGCCCGTTCCCTGCTGCGCTTGGGGGACAGGCCAGTGGCGGGTGCTCCGGTGTGGGCTTGCAGCCTGGCCACTGCGGTGGTGGACGAGCTGGTGCGTGGTTATGAGCCCTGCTCAGTTCGTGGGCTCTGGGAACAGGTGATGATCTTAAGAAGTGTCACTGCCAAGGGGGTTGGGATGCTCTGGGGGCCAGCCAGTGCATATCCTCCTTAAATGCTTGTGGAGGAACAAATTTTAAAGACAGGGTTGCTTCTGGGCATGGGGAACCGGACAGGGGGTCATGCTTTAGCTTTGCTGTGTTGTTTCCAGGACAGCAGTAAGCGTGGAACCCAGGCTGCTGTCACACCCTGCAGCGCCAGGTCCTCTCAGGTGGAGGGTCCCTGCGCGCCAGTCGCGCTCTCCTGACCTGGCAGACCGAGATCGCCAGTGGCGTTTATTTCCTGGTCTTTCCGTTGGTGCCAAAGCCCGCCCCTTGGACGTGGCTTGTGTAATCTCCCTCCCTCCTGTCTGTAGCCCTTTGCACCCCAGCCCTGCTCCCCTCCTACCCAGACCCATCTCAGGCCCTGGGCCTGGGGTGCCTAGAAGCACTGTCTCCCTGTCTGCATCTTTGTCCACCAAGAGGGCCTCTCTGAGAAGCAGCTCAGTTTACATGGTCCCACAAGGTGCATTTCTTTAGTTGCCTAATGTCTCACTCAGAAGCATTCATTGAGCAGTGGGCAGTGTGGGTGGGTACCACGATGAGCAAGGTGCCTGCCCTCACAGAGCTTATGTTTTAGTGGAGCAGATGCATACAGAGTAACAGCCCGCAAGATAGTGTAAGCTGTGATAAATGCTGTGACAGAAACAAGGGACTGAGGCAGAGAATATTGGGATGAGGGTAAGACAGCTTTTTGAGGGGGTGACATGAGCAGAAAGATAAGGTGGCCCCCGTTTGAAAGGGACTGGCTAGCGGCACTGGTCAGCTGTGACCAGGACAGTGAGTGGATGGGTCTTGTCCAGAGGACCAAAACACGGAGCCTCCCCGAAGACACCTTTTCCTCTCATGTCAGTTGGCATTGACTCCCCTCATTATGGTAAACTTTTACTCTTCACAGTGGTGGTGAGATATGTGAATGTGAATTTTTTTGGTACTGGGAATCGAACTCAACCTCGCGCTTGCCAGGCAGACGCTGTCCCGCTGAGCTATATATATCCCCGGCTATAAATTTGAATTTTGGGTTGTGCTGGAGTTAGTTTCCATAGGCTGGAAGTGATCCATAAATGGCTGAGTGTAATGAATGCTGCCTTGAGGAGGGAAAGTGAAAGTGCTCAGCATGTTGTAGGGGCTCAAAACTATTTGAATGAGTGAGGAGGTAATGATGTCACCCAGCCAGGAGGAGCTGTGATGTAGTGTGAGCTCCCCTGAGTCCTCAGCTGCCCACATGAGTGTTAGTCAGTGGCCAGGAATAAAGTCTCTGTGCCCGGTGCTGGGTTTCTGGTCCCAGGCAGTGACAGCTACTGGGAAGAGATTTGTCCAAAAAACAGTTAACATAGGATGAGCATACGGGAAGAGATCTGTCCAAAAAACAATCAGCATAGAAGACGGTGCGATCCAGCAAGTCCACTTCTAGGTATAGACCGAAATGAGGTGAAAGCAGGGGCTCCAACAGATTTTTGTCTGCCAGTGTTGTATGCGGCTTTCTTCATGATGGGGAAAAGACAGAAAAAGCTCAAGTTCAAGTCAGCAGATGAATGGACAAACAAAATGTGATCTACACATATGATAGAATCTTTCCTAGCCTTAGAAAAGACTCATGTTCTGCTGGATGAATGGACCTTGAGGACATTTGGACAGAATGCTACGCAAAGGGACAGACATTATATGATTCCACTTAGCATAGGCAGCTTCGTAGAGCAAGAAGGGAAATAGAAACCACCACGGTTCTGAGGGGAAGGGGTGGGGAGTTCTGTTTAATGGGTTTCTGTTTGAGATGGTAAAACGTATTGCATCTTTTCTTGTTCTGCTGAAGGATATTGCCCTCAAAACGAAAGAAATCTTCACCAGCCTAGCGCCGTTTTCAGAAGTTGTGGACGATGGAAGAAAGCGAGTCCTCAACTTGGAGGCATTAAAGCAAAAGCGATTTCCGCCAGCAACAGAAAACTTCCTTTACCATTTAGCAGCAGCTGAACAAATGCTGAAAATCTGACCGATTCAGAAGGTCTGGCTGGTGACTGTTATAAAGCTCTTCTTTCATTCTGATTGCCCCTTAATTATGTAAAATACTGGAAATAACAGAGGAAATGTTATATTTTTAAATGATTTATTTGAAAGTATTGAGATTTGACCTGAAAAACACTGAAACACGTAAAAACACTTGTGGTTTTCTCCCCGCTGATTAGCATGTTGCCTGCTGAGTTGGGCAAAGCGTGTAAGTGCCGCGTCTGGCGTCCTGAACCGGCCGGTGTCTTGGAGCAAGGGGAAAAGCTCTGTCGAGTCCCATGCAGACCGCAGCACCTGCGAAAGCCTTGATTACAACTTCCTGTTTGTCTCATTGTGTAGCCATAAACTAACGGTTCATTTTCAGAAAGCTGCCTCAAATTTTGCTTTGTACTCTTCTAGGAAGAACTTTAATTCCTCATGAGGAACTCTACTTTCTGAGCCAAACTGCTAAGTTTTCTGCAGAACTATCTAGAAGATCACTCAAGAGACCCTGCAGTTGCACTTTCTTGTAAAAGAAAATGTTTTTCTTAGCCTTTGAACATTTTTGCCTATATTATGGGAGTTTTGCATAGACTTTATACTTGAGTAGAGAACTTTACTAATCCATATTTATACTGCTACAGAAGTAATCACTCGGCAGGCTTAAGCCACTAGTACTCTTCGTTTAGCTCGCACTGTTCTTTGGAAAAGATGCCGTGTTTGTATGGTAGAGAAAGTTAGAAGCCCCTTTTTGAACAAGAATGTCTTATAGAACTGAAGTAGTGACTTTCTATAACTGGCGAAAGAGAATCAACTTCTCACAGGGGCCAAAACCAGGAATGTCTTCATGCAACACTAATAACAATGATCTGATCACATATCAAGGTGACTCTTCTTGTTCGGTTGTGTACTTTTTTCACAATTGGAGACCTTCAAATTGCCAGATAAGCATGGATGTCTAAATTGCACACTCACTATTTTAATACGTGTATTAGTCATGAAAGGTTACTTTTCACTCAGTACTGTTGTCCTTTGGAATTTTACCTGCAAAAGTGCTTGCAAAAATGGTCTTTATTAAATCATTTTTTTTTCTTGGTGTTAGATGTTTAAGTAAAAATAAAAAGTAGCTTTTCCTCTTCCTTCCTTGGGTTGGGGTGGGAAGGACCTGAAATAAGATGTTTACGGAGGCCAACAACTGAAAATTAAATCTGCACTTTATAAAAAACGAAAACTATCATCCTTTCCTTCCTCTTCTTTTTTCAATACTATAGTAGCTAGTGATCAACATTGTTAAAGTTATGAATGTGTGAGCTGGGTGTTGGGGTGCACATCTGTGATCCCAGCACTTGCAAGGCGGAGGTGAGGCAGAAGGATAGCTGAGAGTTTGCGTCTAGCCTGGGCTGCATAGCGAGTTCAAGGCCAGTCTAAACTGCAAAGCAAGACCCTGTCTCAAAAAAACCCCCCAATCCCCATAATAATAGTTATAAATTTATAATGTAGAAATAAAATAGAAATATTTTGATACTCAACAATGTTTTAGGTAGGTAAGGAATTATACCCGCTCATTCTCCCCACTGTCTTGTTTTGTTTTGGTTTTTTTTTTTGTCTTTTTGAGACAGGGTCTCGTTATGCAGTTCAGGCTGGCCTTGAGCTCACTTTGTAGCCCACACTGGTCTTGAACTCCCACCGATCCTCCTGCCTCAGCCTCCTGAGTGCTGGGATTACAGGTGTGCGCCACCACAGCTGGCTCATTCTCCCCACTCCAAACAAAAGAAAAAAGCCCTTTTTCCAACTGCAAGGCCCTGGAGAATTAGGAAAAGATTTTGAAAGTGAAAGCTGCCTCCAGGCCACAGTTTCATCTGTGAGTGGCTGAACCTCCATCTGGACCCTTGGCCATCTTGTTCTCTACCTGTAATTTCGTTTAGTGTGCACCTGTGACCACACGGAGCCATCTGGTGGACAATGTGCTGATTTTGCCTTTCTAAGCTGCCATGAAACTCCTCCTTAAGTGAATGTGGAAATAACGGTCATTCTGGGCCAAGGGAAAGCTGAAAGCCAGGGGATATCCCCTGAGGGTCTGGATGGGGCTGTTGAAACAGTTTTCCAGTACCCAGCTGTTTGGACACCCTCCCTGCCCTGCCCATTCCCTGCATGCTGTCCTGGTTTAGGGAGGCAGTCCCCGCGCTGCAGACACAGTCTGTCCGGGAAAGCGGATAGCCAGCGGGCCGTGGTATTACAGTGTGGCCAGCGCTGGACCCGAAGCAAGAAACAGTGCTGTGGGAGCACAGGGCGAGGCACCTAGCTTAGTACTGTGCATTGTGGGACAGGCGGTCGCGGAGGCAGTGATGAATGCTCGGGTCAGCACAGAGCAGGGGGAACAGCTTGTTTGAAGGTCCAGGGAAGACCACAGCCATGTGAGGAACTGGATGTTGGCCCAGAACGAGGAAAGGGCACGGCAAGAGATGAGCTAAGAGAGGCGCTTCCGGCCACAGCCGGGTGCCTGTGCGCTGCGCAGCCCGGTGAGGCTCTGCGGTCAGCTCCTGCGGGTTGGAAGAGCGTGCGTCCCGGAGGAGCGCGACTGCAGCGGAGCAGCGCCAGCAGAGGGGGCTGGCGCTCCGAGCCCGGACGGCGGCTGAGTTCGAAGCCGCCCCAGACACGGGACTGCATCGGCAGGTCTGTGCAAGGGGAGTGTGCTTTAGGAAAGGTACCCCGGAGTCTCCTGTGTTCAGGAGCGGGGCTTCCCCAAGGTGACTGGCTCGTGGGGCACGACCCTCCCTGGCGGGTTAACCCGTGGGTGAGCTCCTAGCCGAGGGGCCGCAGCCGGTGGGGCCGGGTCGGAGGAAGCTGGCCCTGAGGCGGACCTGGGAGCCGCATCTTTCTTCTCTGCCTTTTCCCACCTCGCTCTGCCTCTCGGCCTGCCTCTCGGCCTGCCAGTTTCTTCTTCTTTTTCTTTCTTTCTTTTCTTTCTTTCTTTCTTTCTTTCTTTCTTCCTTTCTTTCTTTCTTTCTTTCTTTCTTTCTTTCCTCTTTCTTTCTCTCTTTCTCTTTCACTCTCTCTCTCTCTTTTCCTCCCTCCCTCCCTCTTTGTCTTTTTGAGACAGGAGGCAGTTCAGGCTGGCCTTGAGCTCACTTTGTAGCCCATGATGGTCATGAACTCGCCACAATCCTCCTGCCTCAGCCTACCGAGTGCTGGGATTACAGGCGTGCGCCATGCCACCACGCCCGGTTAGGCCGTAACAGTTTCTGCTTTGGAGCCAGCAGACCAGGAGCCCAAATAAAGCTATCTCCTTTGTGTGTGTCGGGCATTCCCCGCAGCCGAAAGCGCTGCTCACGCCCCAGCGTGCCCGCAGACCACACATAGCACATGCACGCTGGTCCAGCAGGTCTCTGCGGGGCAGGGGCCAAAGGAGCAAGAAGGTCATTTTCAAAATAAGGTTTCAGGGATACAAAGCAAAAGCGCTTGACTTCTAGCGGAGAAGAGTGGCTGCATAGTGCTCCCGCCTGGCGCGAGGGTCAGGCGTCCAGACGAGACCCTGGGGCCACCGCGCAGTCTGCAGTGAGCAGCTTGCGAGGACAGCGCCTGGGAAAGCGCGGCGACCCGGCCGGACACCGGATCCAAGGTGCCTTGTTACAATCAGATACCGCTGGTTACGCACGTTCTGAAATTTTAGCCAAAGAAAATAAACCTCCCAGCGACAGGGAAACGAGAAAAGAATGCTGACGCTTACGCACAGTGGCAGACACTTCATTCTTAAGGAAGGGACAAACTTTTTCTTTTAGGCAGCCCTTTAAGCCTTTTCTTTTAGTCTATTTTTTTTTTAAAGTTTTTTTTTTTTTTTTCTGTAAATTAGCCCTTCTGCAAAAATGAGGTTCCTACTGGTGAGACGGACTCCAGGCAGCCAACCGGGCCTGAATCTGCCTGTCCTCGGGAGGTGAGGTGCTGGCGGGGAAGGACTCCTGCTGAGGAGGGTGATCCACCTGGAGCCCAGTGTCGTCTGCAGTGGGCAGGAGTGCTGGGCAACAACTTCCTCCTGAATATCTGCTCTCATTCTATGCTCCAGCTGTATGAACAGTTCACGGCAGTCTAACACCAGAAATTAAAACTAATCCAGTGAGTATATTTATGTTGTCAGACACAGTAGACTAAACATAATAAAAATCATTGTCTTGGGGCTGGGGATTTAGCTCAGCGGCAAAGCGCCTGCCTGGCAAGCGCAAGGTCGTGAGTTCGGTTCCCGGTACCGGAGAAAAACCAAAAA